GGCACCTTTGGTTGGCTTTGAACTGCCAACCTCTTGGTGCTTAACTATTTGCATCTCCCAGGAACTCCTTTCTGAACTAGTTTTATGAAGTCTGTATTCTTTATCTTTTTTTGGCCACTGAAGCTTCTGCTCTATTATCTTAGCGGTCAGCTAGTGATTTGACAGAGATTTCCTCAAACTCCTGCAATCTCTTAGTCTTTGCAGATGGTCCCTTTATGGTGTTAAGGTATACCTTCAATGCTCAGCAAGGCAGTTTACAACTCTACCTTAGCCTTCACTTCCTGCTTTCTCAGAGACCGAAAGTCATCTAGAGGTGAGAGCTCTTTTGGTCTTGTCATATTTTTCTGAACACAAATCCATCCCTGGACATGTACTGACCTTCTAAATTCCCAGGACTATGTAGTAGCTTTTCAAAGTCCTTATTCCACAAAGTATCACATTGCCCAGCCTTTTCTTCAAAACTTTTTGGTTAGTCTAATGTTTTTATACAAACTATCATTTCTTGCTCAAGTGAGAGAAGCTAATAAATTTATCTTTAAATATTTTTGACAAATGCCCCCAGATAGCCTCCTCAGCCCTGGAAGAGTTCTCAGTTAAGATAAATAAAGGCAAGCCTTTTGAGCCAGTCCTTCACAGAGCCAGCAAACAGGTCACAAACAGTTACCATTCTTTGATAATAAGGTCAGTCTGCTTCTCAATACTAGGAACGTGTATGGGGAATACGAGCGTTTGTCTTTAAGTCCACCACTAAACTGGAGAGTAGAGAATGGACTAAGAGTGAATTATTAGTCACTAAGCCCTCTTACCTAATGTCAACTTTAAAAAAAAAAAAAAAAAAGAAGAAGAAGAAGAAGAAGGACTGTCCCAGTTTCTGTAAACTGGGAATTCCAATAAAGTTGATTTGGCCAGTTTTTGACAGTCGTTCACTGTATTTGTGGAGGGACAGAAAGATCACCATTCTCAAGGAAGACATTCTTTACTAGTTAAGATAAATTTTTATTTGTTTGTTTTTAAGACTTTAAGGTATATTTTTGGTTTAATGTTTAAAGATTATCTCAGGGCAGTAATTTCAGGGGTTTGTCTAGTCTTCATGGCTCCAGAAAGTTTGGAGTCCTCATGGACTTACATATTTCTTATATCAGAAATTCTGTTCTGCATTTTCCCCCTTTTGATCAGGATTCTTCTATAAAATTTTTGATCAAAATGTTCAGTAATGGTAGCAGGGCATCATCTGGTTCTTCTGATCTCACAGCAAAGGAGACGGTTGCTCAAGAGCTAGTTTTATTTATACCCCCCCCCTCAGTTTATTTTTAAACAACTCCCAGATATAGCTCACTATAGGCTAAGTTTATTTACAAAGTGATGATTGAATTTTTAATACAATTTATACCATAATAGAATTTTTGCAGGTGAGGAAAACTGAATTCAAAGAGATGATGTCAAACTATAATTGAAGCAGAAGTCTAATTCAAGAATATTGTAATGCTCTTATTCAATAGATTATTTGTTATTGTAGAAGTGGTTAGCAGCCTTCTGGTTAGTAGTCAAATGCCTTAGGCACTATACCACCAGAGCTCCCATGTATTCTATTATGAGAACATAAAGCACAAAGGTGGAAAAAGCATAGAGAAAGCTAGCTATAATGCAGAGAATCTTCTCCAGTCTTGTCACACTTTGGGGGCTCCCATCACTGCTCAGCCCAGAAGCCAGGAGAGGGAGTCTCAATATAATTTTAAGACCTTAGGGATAATACAATGTCTGTGTGACTTGGGTAGTAAACATTTCCCCTGAGTGTCATGCAGGAGAAGGCTAGGTGGTAGTCAGGACTTTGTATAGCTGGCCAAACGTCACTGTTCCCTCATTCTCATCTTTCTTGCTCCTGCACTTTTGCAGTTGTTTGGTTTGGGGTGGATGACAGATGAAGATGGAAACGTTCCCAGTCATCCTTTGCCGAATGATATGTCAGCCACCTTTTCATATTTGTCAGGCGTGGAGGCTGGGAAATTTCCACTGAATTGCAAATTTCTCCTGGGTCTTATAGAAATTATTTTCTCTATTTCTTTCTCTTGTGGTCTCATCTTCTCACTATCTGGGTGACTTTTCCTGAGAAAGCACTACAGCTAACTGGACTTCTGATGCCCAGATCAATCCTTATTTGGGGGCATCTCCATTGGAAACTGACCTTATGCATGAGGGATTCTACCATTCAATAGATGAATAGATTAGAAACCAATGTCTTCTTCAATCTATTCTTCTGTGTACTCAGGCTAATGTCAGGGAAAATGGAGTCTAAAACAGAAAAATTGACAGTTTGTACATAAAATCCTTCAGCAGAAGAAATGAAGACGTGGCTTCAAAGGAGAATTTTTCAATAATGAAAGGCTAAATAAACTATAGGTGTGTTAAGTTTTTCCACAGATATGAAATGAAAGGCATATTCCCTCCATATTTATCCCTTGCCTCCCAATCCTCTATTGTCCTGTTGGGAACATTGTGAGATCATTGCCCTTTGCTTGAATTGGGCCTGCACAAGCTGTAGTCAGTGATTACATTGCAAAAGACACACTTTCGAGAGAGAAGGTGAACCCTGATGACTGACCTGCTCATAGCCCCAATAAGGGGCAGAGTGACTCAGACTCCTTTGGATCAGAAATTGCCTTTGTTTACAAAGCAGAAAAGCAGCTTCTGAGGAATTATACCCAGGAGAAAAGCCCAAGAATCAGATTATTCCACTGTGCCCCGCATTCCCAAGTGTTTTGCCCATCCTCAGGAACTCTAAGGATGACAGATCTTTGTCAGAGCCTCACACTATAGGGTATGGAAATGACTCCAGGATAGAGCACAACATTAAGTCCTAAAATGGGAAAGAAAATTATCACCTTCTTCCCCCGCAGGGCTCTCTGGGGTAGGTAGGAGGAATTTCTTCCATATTTAGGGTTGGGACTCATCTTCCTCTCATTTAAGAAATACGTTAGGCTCGGTTCAACGGGAGTGTGCTCACAGAAAGGGCTAAAGATCCCCCTTTGAAGTAACCTCACTACTATCTTTCCGTTCGACCCCTTATATTCTGCACTTCAGCCCAAATGTACTATGTTCACATGGTGTTCTTTGTCCATTGAAAACCTCTCTCGTCTCCTAGCAAATTCGTACTTATTTTCTAGGATTTATTTTAGGCATTGCCTCCTTTCAAAATCCTCCTGTCTCTCTAAATCTTTGTTTGATTCCCTTTCTTTGTGCCTCCCTAACACTCCACGCTGACCTGCAGCATCTGTGTTAACTTTTCTGTCATTCTCAGTAGGCAGCAAGCTCCGGGAGGACAGCGACAATGTCTCCCTTCTCTCTGAATCACCAGTGCAACACCCGGTATGTGATATGCACTGAGCAAAAGCTAAGTGATCTTATTTTCCATAAGGCAATTTCTACAGAAGCTGAAGGGAGGCAAGACTGACTACATCCTGGGAAGAGTGACCATGTTGTTGTTGGAAGAGTGACCATAGAACTACTTTATCCTAGACAAAAGCTACAAAAGTTTTCCTACCCAGGTGAGAAATTGTGAGTAAAGAGCCTAATGTTGACAAGGAACAAAGATTGTTGGTGTGTACTAGGGAATGATAGGGCTGACAGAGAACCAGCGGTCTCTAAGCTTAATTTTCATGCTTTGCATGGTGATAAAGGGGATCCTTAATCTAATAGTGGAGACATTTTTTAAACATCATTAATTTGATTTTTTTAAACTAGATGTAGTTCCTTAGAAATGGAAGGACTTGAGTCAAAAGGGTAAGGACTTAATTTCTGACTTCATTAGTGATTAGAGCCAAGAATTCGTAACTCTGTCTCTGACAAGTCATGAAATAAAGCCCAATTTTGTGAAAGGGCTTAGATTAATAATTCAATAGGCTAAATATCACGGACTGAGAAAATTTAGGGAGTTCAGCTTAACATCCCCCCGAATACTTAGCTTGAAGGTGACAGAAAGCAGAGGTACATGGACTGCCTGCCTAAATTAATGTAGTGTATTTCTGTTCTCCCCTTTTCACATGATACAACTTTCTTTAGAAAGGGAAACCCTGTGGCAAGCTGAGTTCAGTTAGACCCTTGAGTTGCTGGGATATTCTCCACAAAAAGTATACTTTCATATGATAGGCATACTAAGACCCTAGATTCCTATGACTAATTCTACAGTCCTCTAAAGCTTTGCAATTGAAATATAAATAGGTGCTGGATTCATTGACAGTCTTCCAAGGGTGGTGGCAGAGTCAAACCTAGAGTCTGGTGCCTTAGCTTATACCCTAAGTCTCCCTCTGCTGTATCATTTGTCAGCTAACAATCTCCTCCACATACTCAGTTATTGAGCACTGATTATGTGGTGGGAACTCTTTCAAGTCCTTTGCATTATTATTGCACTTATTACTTTTAACATTTTACAAATGAGGAGCACAGAGAAGTTAAATAACTTTTCCAAGACTACTCAGTTAGTAAACAGAGATGCTGGAATCCAAACTCTGACTCAAGTTCCAATCCTGGTTGAATAGGAATAATATCCTTCATGAAATTACTTGTTTCCTGATATTTTTGTCCAACTCAGATGCCCAGTGATATCTTTTTTTTATTGTTGTAAAAATATAGATCACATCATTTGTCATTTCAATATTTTCCACATGTACAATTCGGTGAAACTAATTATATAAATCATGATGGGTAACCAAGTGGTATCTTTATTGTAATTATAAAGTATTACCATTTAAGATCTGAAAGCAAGGGATGTGAAGATGACAGCTCCCAGCATTTTCATACCTAAGTTTTAGCTATCCTTTATAGAAAGTCTTTTCCAGTTCTAAAATCAGAGGATGACATCAAGTGCTTCAAAATTTAACAGAATCTGCCATTGGAGGAAGGGAAATATGTGGGGCAGATCATGATAGAATAAGTTACAGGATTGTTCTAGAAGAGCCTGCTCTCATCAGGAAAATGCTTCTATTGTTGCACAGGTGGGAAAGACAATGGCTCCAGGCGAGAACCAGAGCAGTGGTGTGACAGAGTTCATCCTAGCCGGCTTCCCAAATCTCAACAGTACAAAAGCAGAATTGTTTTCTGTGTTCTTTCTTGTCTATCTGCTGACTCTGACAGGCAATGTGTTGATTGTGGGGGTGGTTGGAGCTGATACTCGCCTGCAGACCCCCATGTACTTCTTCCTGGGCAACCTGAGCTGCCTAGAGATCCTGCTCACTTCTGTCATCATTCCCAAGATGCTGAGCAATTTTCTCTTAAGCCAACACACTATTTCCTTTGCTGCATGCATTACCCAATTCTATTTTTATTTCTTTCTTGGAGCCTCTGAGTTCCTACTGTTGGCTGTCATGTCTGTGGATCGCTACCTAGCCATCTGTCACCCTCTGCGTTACCCCTTGCTCATGAATGGGGATGTGTGCTTTCGTGTGGCCTTGGCCTGCTGGTTGGGGGTACTCCTCCCTGTGCTTGGCCCTACAGTGGCTGTGGCCTTGCTTCCTTTCTGCGGACAGGATGCTGTGGTGCAGCATTTCTTCTGTGACAGCGGCCCACTGCTCCGCCTGGCATGCACCAACACCAAAAAGCTGGAGGAGACTGACTTTATCCTGGCTTCTCTTGTGATTGTATCCTCACTGATGATTATGGCAGCATCATATGGCCACATAGTCCTGGCTGTCCTGCGCATCCCCTCTGCTTCGGGTCGTCAGAAGGCCTTTTCTACTTGTACCTCTCACTTGATGGTGGTGACCCTCTTCTATGGAAGTGCCATTTTTCTCTATGTAAGACCATCACAGAGTGGCTCTGTGGATACGAACTGGGCAGTGACAGTGGTAACAACATTTGTGACACCACTGTTGAATCCATTTATCTATGCCTTGCGCAATGAGCGAGTCAAGGAGGCTTTGAAGGACATGTTTAAGAAGGTGGTAGCAGACTATTTGTGTTATCTTTTACTTGCTAAGAGTTTCAATGAGAAAACAATGAGGTGAAAGTAAAGGGACACAGAAACTAGTCTTGTGTCTAATCCTTCTCATTGTCACTCTCTTTGCCATTATCATCATCAATGTCACCAAAGGACTAAATTCTGGAACCACAAATGAACTCCAAAGTCATTAAGTATGTCCTTCTTCTCAGGCAAAATTCCTTGGTTCTGTTATAATTGATATACTGTAATAATATGTATAACATATCTATTTTATTGTTGACATATCATAATATAAGAAGTACTGGCATAGTGGGTAAGGCATTTGGTTGCTAACCAGAAGGTTGGTGGTTCAGACCCACCAGCTGCTCTGGGGAAGGAAGATGAGGCAATCTACTTCTGTAAAGATTTACAGCCTTGGAAACCCATGGGGATTTCTATGAGTTGGAATCTACTCAGTGACAGTGGGGTTTTGGTTTTACATTATTGTGACATTATAAAAGACCATCTAACCTGTGAGATCTTAAGGGTACGTGGTGACCTGTGGAGTCTATGAATGGGCTTCAGAAAATTTGTAATCCCCATAGGTATGGAAAGTGTGTGTATTTTAGCATATATGCATCTGTTTGAGAAGAGGATCCATAGCTTTAATCCAATTTTTAGAGCAGTCTGTGTGGGGGTCACTATGAGTCAGAATAGACTCAATGGCAGTGAGTTTGGTTTGGGTTTTTTTTGTGTGTGACCTTAACCCAAAAGTTAAAAACTAATTAAAGAGTCTCAATAGAGTCTTTCAATTGTTTATGCAAGTAAAGAATTTTAAGAAAATTCTTGGAAATTTTTAACACTTTCTAGAAACAAATACACATTTACTACTAGGTGGAAAAGAGGTAAAGCAAATTTAATAGAGACTTATTCATGGTGTAATGCCTAAGGCATTTGACTACTAATAAGAAAGCTGACAGTTCAAATCCACCAGCCACTCCTCAGGAGGAAGGTTGGGCAATCTACTTCCCTAGCCATACCAACTCAGAAACCCAAGGAGGGGTCACTATGAGTCAGATCCGACTCGACGACAATGAGTTTGGTTTTTGTTGTTGTTGTTGTTGTTGTTATTCACTTCTCTATGGCAATTCTGGGTGCCTTTGGAAAAATTAATTCATGAGGAATTTCATGAATAATAGTATTTAATGTGTTTTTCTAACTTGCTCTTTATTGTTGTTGTTTGCCGTCAAGTCAGACCCAACTCATAGCAACCCCTCCTTGGGCTTCCGAGGCAGTATTAAAGTAGATTGCCCAACCTTCCTTCCGAGGAGTGGCTGATGGTTCCTTCTGGTTAGCAGTCAAGTGCCTTAGGCACTATGCTACCAGAGCTCCCCACACTTTATTACAAAGATTAATTGAGCACATCTCTACTTATTTTGTCACCAGATTGTGTTCATCTGTCCATCTTTGTACATTTTTATAACAGTTGCTTTAAATCTTCTTTTGTTTTTAGTAAACGTGGGGTTGAGATGTGGCTCTTTAATATCAAAGAGTTAAGAATGCCAGGCATTCTTATACCCACCAATAACCAGACTCTGTAGAAAATTTTACTACCTTATTGGACAACTGAGGAGGGAATATAGAGTTCTATTTGTGGCACTCTTTGAAATATTGGAGACAAACATTCATTCAGCTATTCACTTATTTATTTATTTATTGAACAAAGTTCTACTAAGCACTTTTGCTGGACACTGTGATATACTAATGTATACTAACATGATCATGAAACAGTTCCTAATGTCAAACAGCTTAGACTCTAAGAGATGAATAATAATCTAGGGGATGACAAAGGCTTTACAAAACCACATTGGAGGTCATATGAATATTGACTTATTGTTTCTTTTGTATTCTCTACTTAGAAAAATTTTCACAGAGGCCCTCACTCAATAAATAGGAATAAACCCTGGAGTGTGTGTGCATAAGGATAATGTACAAAAATAACAATTAAATAGCAGGTTATGGACAATATACTGACCTCAAAATTGTGCTGAAAATTGGCAAAGTGAGCATTAGCAGCCAAAGAAATGGCCATCAAGGTTCAGTGAGCATTGCAATTAGTAATGCTTTCACCTAGTTACCTTAGTAAAACACACTTGCACACACTAAATATTTCTATCCAGAAAGCTTTCTGAGTACTAAAGGAAAAGGAAAAATGCGCAGTGATTTGAGGGAAGAAGGAACAAAAAACTCTGAAGTGAACTACAAATGTTGCCCAGGAGAAGAGATGAAGTACTGCCTTCAACTTTCTTTGGTTTCATAGAGCAGGCACCAGCCAGAAAGAAGAATTCATTGAGCATATCTGGAAGGAATCTTTCCCATATTTTAGCAATAAGGTGTGTTAAACCATTTATTTTCAACAGTTGTTTTATGATGCAAAATTACTTTGGATTTAACATCATTCAATAAGAATTTATTGAATGTCATGTTCTGGGCAGTAAGTAGGTATGGAAAGGTATAAATTTATGGTGGCTGGCACCAAAGAGCTCGCAGACTTTTGTGGGAGGCATATATGAGGGACTGTGGATCTAAATGTAACAAGATTATGGTGGAATTTAGAGGGGAGTCTAACAAAATGACATTTTACTAATAAAACATAACAAAATATTGGATGACTGAACATAACTAGGAATAAGAATTGCACAATAGAAACTGCATTAGGGAATGACATAAAGAAGAAAGATAGGAGTACTTTATAAAGGTATCTGAGAATATGGATTTGAATTAGTTTTCAAGAAGAGAAATATGACTACATTGTTAGTGGGTTGATAAGTGTTACCCTGGACATATGGGGGAAAAAAAAGATTAATAAAAAATTAAACACTTTACTAAGATTAAGGTGGATCTGCTGAATACCTGATGATAAAATCAGTGATTCCCCCCCCAAAAAACCAAACAAACAAAAACTCACTGCTGTCCTGTCTTCCCTGATTTCTAAAGTGGTATCTCTACAGAAGTAGATTGCCCAATCTTCCTTCTAAGGAGTGGCTGGTGGTTCAAACCCACCAGCCTTCTGGTTAGCAGTCAAGTGCCTTAGGCACTACACCACCAGAGCTCTCAGATGACACTGAAGGAGAAAGAAAAGATTTCTGTTTGCACCACTTTACTTATAAAGCTCTTAATACTGTCATCAGTAACTGCAGTGATGCTAAAGCCAACAACCATTTCCACACTTCGTAATCTCAGCAGCATTTAGCACAACTGAATTCTTATTTGAAATAGTCTTTTCCATTGGCTTCCTTGGGACCATACTCGCTTGATTTTTCTATCTTTCCAGGTGCTCTTTTTCTGTTTTTCTCAGCAGGTGTATCTTCCTCAATGAAGCCAATAAATATTAGAGCTTCTCAAAGTGCAGTCCCAAGATCTCTTCTGTCTTTAAGCTTTCTGTAGGAAATTTCATCCATGCCCACAGTTTTAATCACCATGTACTTATAGCCTCAAATTTGTATCTCCAGGCCTAATCTCTGAGTTTCAGATTCATATATGTGACTGTCTCCTCAACAACTCCACAGAAGTTATCTCAAAAGCACCTCAAATTCAGCATGCTTATGACTGAACACATCATTTCTTTCTCTAATGCCTCCAAATTTGGTCATTTTTCGTTGTTCTGTACCTTAGTAAGTGCCATAAAAGGTAAATGTACATAAATCAGAGAACTTAGAATCTGTCCAATTCATTCTTCTATCCAATCTGTTACCAGGACCTGTCCTCACTGTGTAGTTCTCAAATCCATCTAGTTCTCCCTAATTACTCTGCAACCTGATCAATCTTTTCAAAAGTAAATATGGTCATGTAACAAACATCTAGCTCAATATCGTCCACTTAAATCTTTTCAATTGCACTATGTTGTGTTAAGATAAATTCTGAAATGTGAATTATAACCTATGAAGTCATGCATGTTCTATGCCCTGTCTACCTCTTGAGTTTTATAACATTCTCTTCACCACCATACCTCTATGCTTCACATTCTTTGTACTTTGTCCTTCATTTAGTTTCTCTCACCAGGAGTGCATTTGCATATATTCTTTCTTTTTCAAAGGTTCAGATTTCTCCTCAAGCATTACAATCTCTATAAACATTTCATATCCTCCATCCAAATTTAGATCAGGTATCTGTGTTACAACTTTCATGGTACTGCATTACTTCGCTCTGGAGCAGTTATCACAGCTTTTTCTTATATCTTTATTTGTGTATTACCACCCTCTTGACTAAATTCCATGAGCACAGGAAGAATGTATTTTATTCTCACCTCTGCTCCACAAGTTAATGCTTAGTAGACATTCAGTCATTACTTGTTGATAAAGGAATGTAGAACATGAAGGACTAAATCAATGTCTATTGTGGGTTTAGAGAAGGCTCAGAGCAGAACTCTCATTTATGCTAGATCTAAAGGAGCATTTCAACAAGTGAGAAGGTGGAAAGGGGGCTGCTGACCAGAAGGAACAGATACAGCTGAGACATTGCAGTGTGACAATATGTAGTAATTCCCAGCAATATCAGGCAGTCTGGCATGGCTTGATCACAGCAGAGGCAGAGAAAGTGGTAGAAAATGACAATGGAAATGAAATTTAGGGTCCAATTGCAAAGGACATTAAACCTTATTCAGCAGACCTGAGGAACTGCAAAAAAAAAAAAAAAGAAGATGAACATCAAATTTATGTTTTCTACGAGTAAGATCCAACTGCAGTGCAGAGAAAAGAGAAAAGATAGAAGAGATAGAGGTAGAAGGAAGGATAATTAAGGCACAATTGTAATGGTTAAGGTGAGACAGAAGGACAAATACTGTATTAGTCTGTTATTGTAAAAGCCAAGGAAAGGTTTATCTATGGAAGGAAATTTTCTTTGTTAGTTACCAGGGGTGGGAGGGGAGGGGAGGGGAAGGAACACTGTTAGATAGGTAGAGATAAGTATTGATTTGGGTGAAGAGAAGGGCAATGTACCAAATGTGCGTGATCAACATGGTGGCTTTGAGGAAGAGGAAGACATAGAGAGGTGCATGGGAGGTACAGACAGCAAAGATGAATCCTT